TTGTGGAAGTTCTTCTTCCTGGAACTGGTGCTCCAGGCTGGTGAGCAGTGTGGAGCGGGAGCCCCTAGCTTCTCAGAGGGAACTACGCAGCTGAGATACCCAATTCTCAACTGCCGCACGTGGTGGTGGGGCCAACCCACTTTGCATCTCTCTTCCTCCTCCGTCTTGACTGGGTGGTTCTCTGTATCCTTAGTTATATATAGGTCTTCTGTTCAGCTAGTCTTTAGATGGTTCTCCAGGTTGAGTGTTTTATAATTTAGCTGTAATTTTGACATAGTCATGGAAGAAGATGACCACAGCACTTACCTACTCTGCCATCTTAATGGGAACTCCTACTCCTGATTAGTGATATTGAGCATCTTTTCATGAGTCCGTTAGCCATCTGTAAGTCCTCTTTGGAGAAATGCCCATTCACATATTCTGCACATTTTTAAATCGGATTTAAATCGGAACTCTAGGTGTTTTTTGATGTTGAACTGCATGAGTTCTTTATGTTTTTTATATTAAACCCTTATAGGATATACATTTGCAAATATATTCTCCCGTTTAATAGACTTTTTGTTTTGTTGATGGTTTCCTTTGAGGTGCAAAGTCTTTGTAGTTTGATATAATCTTTTTTGTTTATTTTTGCTTTCTTGTCTTTGCCCAGGAAGACATATCCAAAAAATAAATATTGCTAAGACCAATGTCAAAAGGTTCATTGCCTCTGCTTTCTTCTAGAAGTTTTATAATCTCACATCTTACATTTAAATCTTTAATCCATTTTTAGTTTGTATTTTGTATATAACAAAATGGCCTAGTTTCACTTTTTTTGCATGTATTTACACAACAGGGTTTTTCCAACCCATTATTAAAAAAACTTTCTTTACCCTATTGGATTTTCCCACCTCCTCTCTCATAGATTAATTGACCATATAGGCGTGGAAGTTTTTTTCTCTGCTTTTTATTCTGTTCCATTGATGTACTTGTCTGTTTTTATTCCAGTAGAATGCTGTTTTGATTACTATAGCTGTGTAATATAATTTAATAGCAGGTAGTATGATAGCCCCATCTTTGTTCTTTCTGAAGATTACTTTGGCTATTCAGGGGCTTTTGCCATTCATATCAACTTTTGGATTATTTGTTCTAGTTCTATGAAAAAAGGTCATTGGTATTTTGATAGGGATTGCATTGAATCTATAGACTGCTTTGGGGATTTTAATTACGTTAATCCCTTCTATCCATAAGCATAGTATATTCTTTCATTATCTGTGTCTTCTTCAATTTCTATCCTCAAAATCTTATAATTTTCTAAGTACATGTATGTTACCTCATTGATTAAATTTATTTTAGTGATTTTATTCTTTTGATGCACTTGTAAATGGAATTATTTTATTTTTTCTGATTATTTGTATATTAAAATGCAACTCATTTCTGAATATTAATTTTGTGTTCTATTACTTTAATGAATTTATTTATCAGTTATACTAGTTTTTTGGTGGACTCTTCAGGGTTATCTAAATATATTATGATACCATCTGCAAATAAGTTTTATTCTTCCCACTCCAATTTGGACGCCTTTTCTTTTTCTCATGATTGCTGTGGCTTAGACTTCCATTATTAAGTTGAATAAAAATGGTAAAAGTGGGTATCCTTGTAATGATTCCTTGGGGGGTAAAAAAAGCTTTCAAATTTTCTATGATGGTAGCTGTCCATTTGTCAATGACCTTTATTCTGTTGATTTTTCCTCTATTCCCACTTTGCTGAGAGGTTTTTTTAAATCATAAATCAATGTTAGATTTTGTCAAATGACTCTTCTACATCTATTGATATATTACTTTTATCCTTCATTTTGCTTATGTGGTTTATCATGTTAATTGATTTGCAGATATTGAACCAACCTTGCATTCAAAGAAAAATCACACTTAATCATGGTGTATTATCTTTTCAATGTATTGCTGAATTTGGTTTGATGATATTTACTAAGGATTTTTGCATCTATGTTCATCAAGGATATTGGCCTATAAATTTTTTTTTCTTTTGTATTGTCTTTGTCTGGTTTTGGTGTCCTAACCATAGTCTTAACCCTAACCTTAGGCTTAAACTTATATCTAACATCAACCCTAATTCTAACCCTTACCCTAAAGCTAGCCTAAACCTAACTAACCCTAAAACTAATTGTCCTTAATCATAAACCTAACCCTAAACCTAACAGTAAGTTTAACCTTATACCAAACCTCAACCCTAAAACTAACCCTAACCCTAATCCTCAACCTAACCCAATACCCTATTGCCCTGGCCGGACAGGTCAGGTAGTTAGAGTGTTGTCCTGATAAGCCAAGGTTGTGGGTTCAACCCCTGGTCAGGGCATACATGTTGTTGGGTTGGCTGAAAAGTTCATTTAGTTTCTTTTGTAAAATAAGATGCATTTCTCATTTTCACCAATAACTTTATTGATTTGGATATTTTGAGTATGTTGGCTATCTCCCACATGGTATAATGTTGATTGTTCTCAATGTCTTGATTTGATTGCTACCAACTTCAACTGGTCTACCCAATCGTGGAGCATCAGCTAGAGAGAAATCTTCAGCACAAAGCTTTGGAAGCCACTTTTGACATGCTCGATCAGTCACAGTGCCTTCTCCATACACTGCACAACTCTTTTTGCATTTCCATTGCATTTTTATCTTTCTTTGAAATAAAGCATTATATGCCAAAAAATGTTGCATATTTTCTCCCATCTTCAATATTAAAATGGCTACACAAAAATTCACCAATTTTTGATGTTTTGTTAAAAATGCATGCTGATATACAGCTGTTACAATAAAATCTAACAAAATTATTTTGAATGAAATTAAAGTCAATTAAGCACTACTAGAGCCATTTTACAGAAAACAACCAAACTAACTTTTTGGCTAACCCAATACAAGAAGCAACCAATGTATGCATAAATAAGTGGAACAACAAATCCATTTTTTCTCTCCCCCCCACCCCCCCTTTCTAAAATCAATAAATTAAAAAGAAAAAACAAAACTGTGTCCAAACAAAAACTAGCATGCGATTATGCCCACCATCACTATTCATGACTAGAAACTTGAATCAGTGTCCTTCAGTAAATGAGTGCATGAGCCAAATGGAGTGCACCCGTGTGAAAGGAAGCAGAACATGCTGCCACCCCAAAATATGCCTCTTTATCATTAGGATTATTTTGAACTGATTTTCCTTTTCAAAGTGGGAGCACCAGAATCTGTTGCTCTTTTGTGAGGTAAATTTGTTTACAAGGGAAATCTCCATGTGTAAGGGTGCCTCCCTCTTTACCAGGAGGATGGCAATCTCAAGACCTACCATTGGAGAAGGACTTGACCTAAATCTGCAGACAACCATACCTTTATTTACTGTTTGCTGGACAATCTGCCTTAAGTGGCTTCCTCTCTCCCCCAACATCTTTTGTTTTTAGCTCAAGATGGTATCTAAGGTGATGACTTGGACTATTTCAGGGAGTTACTCAGTTTTCCTGGGTATCTCTCATCTATCTCTATGGGAGATACATATGTTATTAAATGTGTTTTTCTCCTGTTAATCTGTCTTTATTACAGGGAAGCCTCAACCAAAAACCTAGAAGAATAGAGGAAGATTATTTTCTTCCCTACACAAGCAATGGAACACAACTGAACAATAGAAAGGAATGAATCATCAACCTGTGGGAGAAAAACAGGTTCTGCCAAAGTAACCTCATAGGGAAATCTGATTACAAATTCCTAACTATGAAGATCATAGTGGGCAGTTATGCCTCAGGCATAAAACTTTTTTATTTTTTTATTAATTTTTAATCCTCACCTGAGGATATGTTTATTAACTTTAGAGAGAAAGGGAAAAATATCAGTTTGGGAGAGAAATATCAATCAGTTGCCTTCAGTGTATGACCCAACTGGGGATCAAAGCAGCAACCTAGGTATGTGCCCAGGAATTGAACCCGCGACCTTTTGATGTACCGGACAACGCTCCGGCCAACTGAGCCACCCAGCCAGGGCACAAGTTTTTTAGTAAAAATTTGTATCTTTGGCTTAAGCAAGCCCTGTCCCTCGTTTTTGTGCATCCGGGTTAACACACCTTTGAAATACACAAAATTGCCCTCAACTGCATGTACTCTTGTTAACTTTCCTGTAATTCAACCCCTGCCTTGCTTTCTCCCACCTTCACTTCATCTTCCGTACATTCCCTCTGAATTCCAAATGCCTGAGAAGCTGCAAAACTGTTGTTCTCAGGTGCATGTGAGGTCTTAAAGTAAACAAACCCTTACAAAGACATGGATGAATCTTACCTGTAGAGAGTTAAGTAAGAGAATCTTGTATGAAGAGGCTACACACTGTGTGACCTCACTTATGTGACATTCTAGAAAAGGCAAAACTACAGAGATGGTAAATCATGGTGTGGGGGGGTTTGAAGTGTTCCGTACGATACTTTTGTGCCTTTTTGAAAACCCACCGTTTTTTACAGCTCAAAGAGTAAATCATAATCTATTCATATTAAGTTATTTAGGATGTGGGAGTGGCAGAATAGAATACAGAACATGTCAAAGAATGTGACTCTATTAGAAATGTGTAAAAAAAAAAAACTCACTGTAGGTGGTGGGGGCAAAAGTTACTGACCTGTGTAACTGAAAATGAAGAGTCTGTGGACTAAATCAAAATGTGCCGCACATTAACAGCGGGCTCTATTTGATACAGTTATCTCCCTTGAGGGTAGTTTACTGCTCTGAAACCACTCTATATATAATGTGGAATGGAGGAATGAATTAAATAAACGGCAGGTGGTGGGAGCCAGGTTTCTCATTTGTTGGAGTGAGAAGTTACCGATGAGCAAGGGGAGCAGGTTACAGTGTCCACGTGATAGAAAATCAGGCTGCAGACAACAGTATAAATTCATCTTTAGCTTAATATGGACACAGATGATTCCACATAGAAATCTTTATGATTAGGTGTGTATACATAGGCTGGAATACACACATACATTTCCCTGCATGGTCAGCTGAGCACATTTACCTCCCACACGATGTTAGGTTTTCAATACCATTCTGTACTAAAAGGAACCAGAGCCCTTTGAAGAAATGGCTGATTAAAGACTTGGCTATTACTTTCATTAGTCTTGTTGACTTCACCAACTACTCCAACAGCTGAGCTCAGTTGAGCTTCCAACAAGGGAGGGTCTCTCCCTTTGCTGCCCCCAGAATGGCCGGAAGAACAGAGGTGCTGATAACATTTGTCGAGCAAATGCCCTATTTTACTAAAAATCCACAAATACATTACATTTTACAAAACTGCGTATATCCCGATCTCTTGGTCCCTTCCCTAAAGCAACAAACGAAAGGGTACTGAGGGAGCTCTATGCATAACGGAGGGTCTCCCATCCAAACATTAGGGCTACCCTGGCCAATCCCAGACCCCTTGTCCAGTGCACAGGAGGTTGGTTTAATAGAAACCCCTCTGTGAACCAGCCGGCGGCACCTGGAGCCTGTCCAGAGCCCTCATCGCCACCCCAGGTGAGGGCCCTGCCAGCACTGCGACCTGCAGACCCACACGCAGCCTGAGTCCCAGCTGCGGGCACAGATGGGCCCTGCCTGGGCGGCTTCCAGCCTCAGGAGTTGGAGACTGGGTACCCATAGTGGTTGCGGTCAGCCTCACCCAGGGTCAGCGTCAGGGACAGGTTGGGCTTCCGTTCCAGCTCCTCCTCTTCCAGGCAGCGCTGCGGGGGCCGGGTTTTGAAGAAGTCAGAGATATAGCGAACCTGCGTGAGGAAAGGAGGCAAAAGCTGGCTGGGCAGGAGTAGGGGTGGGACCCGGGTGGGGGTGGGGGTGGGGAATGGGAACCCTGGGAAAAGTGGGGTGAGGGTGGTAGAACCCAAGAGGGGATGGGTATTGTGGTAGGGGGCAATGAGAAAAGCAGAACCTGGGATGGGCGGACTGGGCTTTTCGGGGGAAAACAGGAGAGGACTAGGGACCAGGAAAGGGAAGAAAGGGTAAGAGTCCCAGGGCAGAAAGTTGGGGCCCAGGAGCTCACGGTGAGGCCGGCCACCAGTGCTCCCTGCAGGAGGCCCACGAGGACATCACTCCAGTGGTGCTTGTGGTCAGATACGCGGGTGTAGCCCACATAGAGGGCGAAGGCCACCAGGAAGAACTGCACCGTGGGCCGCAGCAGCCGGGCCCACTTCCAGCAGAGCCGCGCCTGCACATAGAGCTGGGGGCCGGGGGGCGGCCATGAGCCCAGGGGCCTGCCAGGCTCACCCCACGGCCAGTGCACAGAGGCAGCTCCAAGGCTGACAGTACGGAACCAGAACACCTCAGGCCTCCAGTTTTCATGAACAAACCACTTGGCCTGACCAGTCACCTCCTCTACCCACCCTGCTTTACAGAAGCAGACACTGAGGCCCGGCAGAGGGGCCACGGTTTCACACCAAGCAAGGAACAGAAGAACCAACTCACCGCCAAGAACATCATGCAGTACATCCCAAAGGAGGAGTGTCCAGAGTAGAAAGACAATCTAGGAAAGGAGAGGCGGCCAGCTTCAGGAGGGCTGTGCGGAGGACAGAGCCCAAGAGCCCGTGCTCCGAGACCAGACAGCTCACTCGGCCTCTCTTCCTTCCACAGCCCCCGGTCCCCTGTCCCCTTCCGCTGAGCTCACGCAATCCGCGGCAGAATTTTACATGGAAACATGGCTGGCATCAGACATAATGAGAGTCCCAAAAGAGAGGGCAGAGAGAAGGGGACAGAGAGAACATTTGAAGAAATAAGGGCTGAAAAGTCTCCAAAGATGATGAAAAACTTTAACCTACACATCAAAGAAGCAAAATATCTGCCAACATTTTGCATAAGAAATTACCTATTTAACAGTAAAGAAGGCAGTAATGGAGAAATTTTAAAACAGAGCAAAACAAAAATACGTACAATATGTGGATAACAAATTATAGAAGTCTTTCCTTATCAGTAATTACATTACTGTGACTGTATTAAATTCTCCAAAAGGCAGAGAGTAGAGAATGTATTCTTAAAATACCTAGTTATATGATGTACATAATGGACTCACAATAGATTCAAAGACACAAATAGGTTGACAGTACAAGAATGAAAAAAATTTCCATGCAAACAGTAATCAAAAGTCAGCCAGAATGGCTATGCTAGACTACTATCAGGCACAACAGACATTGAGACAAAAAAATGTTAGGGGAAAGAAAGGACATTACACCGTGATAAAAGGGTCAATCAATCAAGAAGATACAACAATGACAAAAATACACGCACCTAACAACAGAGCCCCAAAATACATGAAGCAAAAATTAACAGAAGCTACAATATGGGAGACCTAGAAAACATTAAAGAAGCCAGGCAAGAAAGGCCACAGAGTATATGATTCCATGTATATAATGTCCCAAATAGGTAAACCCAGAGACAGAAAATAGGGGAGTGGTTACCAACTGACCTATTATGGGGGAGGGGAGAGAGCTAATGGACATGGAGTTTCTTTTTTGTGTGATGAACATCTTCTGGAATAAGATAGTAGAGATGACTGCACAACATTGTGAATGTACTAAAAATTAATAAAGTGTACACATTAAAATGGTTGAATTAGTGAATTTATGCTATGTGAATTCTATTTCAAGTTTTTAAAAAGAAAAATAAGGAGGTCAATTAAGTGACAAGTTTCTCAGCAGAGGTGGGAGGACAGAGCGAAAGCACAAGAGTGGGGCCTGAAAACTAGGGGAGGCGGGCCGCCCCTCTGAACACCGACGGCTCCGCTCCGGGGCCGGACACCCCAGCCCCGCCTTGCCTCCCTGTCTGCAGGACCCAAGGCCACAGGCGCCTCCCTGCCGACCCCCACCCTGTCTCTCTGCCCATTGAAGCACCTCCTTACTCTCCTCCATCTGGCAAGTCGCCCTTCGATATCCAGCTTCTGAGGGCCCCCCTCTCCCCCCAGGAGTGGGAGTGTCCGTGGCTTGGGCTCCCCCAGCATCACCCAGAGCGATGCTACTCCGGCACCCACCTGGACTCCGTGACGTTGGCAGGGCTTCCCCTGCACAGCTTCTCCACCTGTACATAGACGGAGCAGTTGACACGGCTCCAGTCGGGGTCACACACTGCCAGGAAGTTGGGCCGCAGCCGACCGATCATGTACTTGGCCAGATCTGTCAGGGACTGGCTCACTGCAGCCCCAAACAAGAATGTCCCCAGCACCTTGTAGACAGCAGCCACGTAGTTGTTGAAGTCGGAGCGGGAATAGAGGCGGTCTGTGTACACCAAGTAGGCCTCCCCAGCCGAGACCTGCAAAGGGGTCAGCCCGGAAGCTTCAGGGTGAGACTGGAGCAGCAGCGGTGGGGTCCCCGCCAGGCACTGGCTTGGTCCTTCCCACTGAAAGGGGTTTAGGATTTCTGGCTTCCCTGAGGCCACTGGGGAAACAGGGAACTCCAAAGGGGGACCTCTTCCCCACAAATACCACCCAGGGCAGATGCTTGACGGTCCAGCCCTACAGGCCCCTCCTGCCTTACAAGGATGACGGTGGTGGTGATGGTGACCGCGGCCATGAGCCCGTGAGTGATCGTGTCCGGACGGTATGGGTACCGGATGGAGTCATCAGCACAGTAGAACCCTCGCTTGTACGGGGCATTCACGAGCGACAGGATGATGAAAGGCAGAGAGGCTGGGAGTAGGGGAGAGGAGCCATGTAGCCACAGGTTTCTTCCCATGCCGTAGCGACCAGCCTCCTCCTGGAGCTTGCATGCCTGCCTCAGTCTCCCTCAACACGCACCACTAAAACCGTCTCTCGGCTCCCCGTCATCCTCAGATGTCCCCCCCAGGCCCAGTGTCTAACCCCCACCCCGTATCTCCTACCCTCTTCCCTCACTCACTCCCCTCCCCCCTCCTTTCTGTTCCTTGAATAAAGCAAGACAGCACCCGCTCCAGGACCCGGCCTCAGCTTTCAGCAGGGATTGTGGAGCAGGCCACAGAGAAGGTGGCTCGGAGGTGAGGGAGTTCAGGGGAGATCTGGGGAAGAGTGCCGTGTTCTCTCTGCCCAAAACGTTTTTAACTCCCTCCAGCCTCAACTTTACTGCCCCCTCCTAACTGTCCCGCCCAAGTAATCTCTCTCCTAGAATGAAATTTCAGTTCTTCCTGCTCTTGTCCCTGCGTAATCATTGACACTTGATTGAATCCCCTCCTCCACCCATCTGTGAGCCCCTGATGGGGAGACCATGGTGCTCAAGGCTGAGTCCCCTGGAGCTTAGGCAGGCATTTAATAAGCATCTGTTAAAAGAGAGGGTTTCCTGTTTTTCCCAGCTGAGATGTTTGCATTCTCATTTGTCCCTGAGCCGGCCACACAGTGACCAAGACAGACCAGACCTGGGAGCTCAGTCTGAAGAAGACACATTCAGAAACCACAGTCATGACCAAGTTATGAAAGGTTAAGTTACCTGGGCACTGAGGCCCTGCTCAACCAAAACCCCTCCCCCCTTCCCACAGAGGACTCCCTGCTCTACGGGGAGGTGCACAGAGCCAAACTCCACCAGAGTGTCCTTTGCTCTCCCCCCCGCAGGCAGGTGACAAGAGGAAAAGGGTGTGGCTCTTCTGTGGCCTGGATTCCAGAGAAGGGGGACAGCAGGGCTAACTCCTCCCCAACAGGCCAAATTCAAGGGCCCCAGGGACCCTGCAGTGATGGTGTCGCGCACCTTTGATGCTGAATCTGGGTAAAGACTCAGTGAAGAAAACAGAGGTTGACCTCAGGCAGCCAAGAGGGGTTACAAATAAAGAATAAGGAAATGACGACTGTAATCAGGGGAGGTGGCTGCACCTTTCACCAGGGATTGTAGAGTAGGCCACAGAGAAGGTGGCTTGGAGATGAGGAAGTTCAGGGAGCTCCGGGGAAGAGTGCCAGGCACAGGGAACAGCCAGTGCAAAGGTCTGGAGGTGGGACCAGCCTGGGGAGTCGGAGCACCGACAAGGACTGGGTTGCGGGTAGGGGGATGGAGGACGATGCGAGAATGTGAGTCTTGCTGAGAGTGAGACAGGAGGCCTACAGGGTCTCTGAAGCAGAGGAATGGAGCCCATTTTTACAGGATCCCCCTGGTGCCATGAGTGGGGGCAAGGGTGGAGGCAGACAGGCCTAAAAGGAGGCTCCCAAAGCTGTGTGTGTGTGAGTGGGGGTCTTGGGTAGAAGATGCTGGGAAGTCAAGTCACACGGGATTCCTGGAAGGGGAAGTCAGGCTCCCAACTCCTGTCCCCTCCCCCTTCCACTGGAGACTCAGGCACCCCAATCGGAGCCCTGGCTTTCCTGGGATTTGGGAAGGAGAGCTCCGTGCACTAAAATCAGGGCCTCCCTCCACTTGGCCTCCCTGACCTCATGTCATCCCTCAAGGTCCTTGTCACCATTTAAAACTGAACTGTTTGTGTTGAATCTTCTAGAACGAGGAGCAGAATCTGCTGGAGCCACCAACCCCTGGCACACAGCCAGCCAGCCAGCTGCAACACGCAACTTAATCTCAACTCTGCCTCCCGCATGACCTCTCTGGGATGGAACTGGGGGTCATAAAAGCTTGTCCCTCACAGGCTGTTTGGAGAAAAAGGTTCAATTATTGGTGTTGCTTAGCGCCTAGCACACAGTAAGTGCCACACAAATATTTAAATAAATAATAACACAGGCACTCAGAATCTGGTGCCCAGGGGTCTTCTTCCTGCCACCCAGCCCATCCCAAAAGGGGTCTCATCTGGGACATGGGAGTGGGGCCTGGCCTCTGCCATCCATCAGGCCTGAACACTCCATGCCTCGGTCTCAGTCCCCTCCTCCGTGCTGGCCTGAAGGGCAAGAACCAGACTGAGGGGCAGGGGGAATTTTTGCCGCAGGGGCCCCTCCCCCCGCTGGGGGTAGAATTCCGAGGCCATTGCCCTCACAGCCACAGAGCAAACACTCAGCCATTGTTCCTGGGACCCTGGGAGAGGGGAGGGGAGGGGATGGGAGGGGCCTCGGGCTGCCCCCTCCACCAACCTGGCCCTAAAAGCCACCCAACAGGTTTGGCCAGGCCGCGGTTCACCCGCAGCCCGGGGCCCAGCTTTCTGTCTATGTTTATCCGCTTGCGCGGGTTCAAATCCCACCCACCAGCTGTGCGTCCCGGGCCAGGCCTTAGCTCTCCCCGAGTCCGCTGGGAAAGCCGAGCCAGGGCCCGGGGCGTGGAGGTCCTCCCGGCAGGGACCCGCACCGCAGCCCCTGCTCCGGCCCGCCCCGACCGGGGCCGCCGCCCGTGTGAATCACCGCCCCAGCAGGGCGCGACGGGAACGCGGGACTCGGCGGGAGTGGGGGCGCCTGCCGCCCCGGCGGCGACTTCCTGCTGTCCCGGGCGGGGCTGCCAACCCGGACGCCGTTTATGGCCCACTCCAGAGCCGAGCACGGGTAGGGTAAACTGAGGCTGGAAGGGTACACGCCCAGGAAGGTGAGCAGAGGGGTCCTCCCCCGAGACACCTGAGAACGGTCTCCCCACACTCCCGGGGTCCCACGGTTCTTACCGACCAGCACGCACAGCACGTCGAGCAGCACGAAGACCCACCTCCGCTCCATGCCGCCCCCGCCCCCGCCCCGGGCAGCGCCCGCGACCCCCGACGCCCGTCCCGGCGCGTCCCGTCGCGTCCAGGCCCGGCCACAAAGTCACATGGCCGCCTAGCCTGGCCCAGCGAGGGAGGGGAGGGGAGCGGAGCGGAGCGACGGGCGGGGCGGGGCAGCCCCAGGGGAGGGGGCGGACTCTGCCCCTGCCCCGCCCGCGGCGCTCGGGAAGGAGCCGGGTAAAGTGCGTGCGACCGGCGACTGGACACCCAGGAAGCTTGGGGACTGAAGGTGGGGTCTCTGAGTTGGTAGGAATCATCAGCGCCCAGCCCCCGCCACCACCAAGCCGGGAGGCTACAGCTCAGGGACAGCGAGTCCTGGGTCAACCAGAGCGTCCGTGCTTCGGCGAATGCCCCGGTCTCACGGATACAGCCGGCTGAGTCCGGGGAACGTGGGGCGAGGTGACAAGGAAAGAATGAGTGAGGGGTGAATGGGCAGCCCCAGCAGAACCGCGGGGTGTAGAGGAGCTCGGCCTGCGCAGGATATGACCCCCAGGCCACTCTCCAAGCGTAGGTCTCCCCACTGGAGGCTGGCATTCATGCCATGTACATCTCAATATCCTGAATCAGTAAATGCCTAAAAAATTGACGGATTATTGAAGCTTAACTGCAGAGGTTTTTCTGAGGCCCTGCCACCCCCGGCAGTTTAGACGATCAGATCCCTCAACACCCACGGTGGAGGCTGTGCCAGGCACTGTTTGCTATGTAGCACTGACTGTCCCCATTGGAAAGACATAGGAACTAGCTCAACACCTGGAAATGGTTAGTTTGGCTCAGTGCCCTACACCCAGGTCCCAGGGAGGGAGGCACCTAAGGGCCAAGAACACCCACGCCTGGGAAACTGAGACCCGAGGGGCTCATTACATCCACTTTCACTGTCCACACACCCACACTGGATCCTTTTTGGCTGGATCCACTCCCAGAAAGCCCTGCCTTGATCTGGCAGGACACTTGACAGGCAAGAGGTTCTGTCACCCTCAAGGTCACACAATGGGAAGGGGGCTGGGATTGGAACCCAGGTGGCATGGCTCCAAGGTCCCATGCCCCTGGCTTCTAAACCACACTCACCACCCCATCTCCTCCAATGATCCTGCAGAGGATATTCTCCACCCTTTTTACACATGAAGGGGGAGCCAGGTTCACAGAGGGGCCGCCCCTCGCCCCAAGTCAAGCAGCTGGGACTTGAACTTAGAAGCCCCCTGGATCTTGCTTCTTGGGAAGATGAAAAGACCTCTGCACCTTGGTCATTGTCCAGGTGAGGTTGGGGGGGCGACTGTCTCTGGGTCAAGTCCCCTGCGCACCGGATCGACTTTCCTTAAGCAGGCCACCTGAAACACTCCTCCACTACCCCCACACACACTCAAAATAACTCAGCCCAGCCCCAAGACATGACAAGGTCCTGCTTGGAAACTTCTGGACCGGATTTTCCATCTGCGGTGTGGCAGAGACGGTGTGGGAGGCATGTCACCAGCAACCAACCCCCCCTTTCCAACCGCACTTCCCGAGAAGTTTGAATCGCCCCCAGACTTCCTCTAAAGCGGCCCGAATTATCAGATTTAATTGCCCGGAGGGTATTCCTGGCATCTGGGAAGATGGACTGTTGGAGATTCCAATTTCAGGCTCAGCTGGTTCCAGCGCGTACTCCTCTCCTCCTGGCGTAACCCCGCCCCGCGTATGCTCGGGCTCTGCTCATCGGCTGCGCCTGCTGCCACTCACAGGGTGGGGCGGACCCCAAGGAAAGACCGGTGCCGGGCTCTAATTCTTTCGTTCATTCTTTCAACACAAACTGAATTAGGGGTGTTGTGAGAATTACCTGATAAAATACTGAAGCCTGGCAAAAATATCACATAAATGATAGCTGGCACCATTATTATTATTGCACTTTTTCACTTTAACCTCAGTCTAATGGGGTGACTACCACTGTCAGAGTTGACAGCCCACCAACACTTTTAGTGAATGTAGAGAAGATGCAACATTGTGTTGGAATCAAGGAGGTCCTGGGTTGTGTGAGGACAGGGGTAAACTGGGAGGCACCGCCCCAAATGGGGCATGTTGGTGGAGACAGCCTGAGTGGGTGCTGCAAGGTCAGACCCAGGAGGGTCTCCAAGGGCGAGGCTCCTGTAGGCAGAGGCCTTGGGTGGGAAGGAGCGTGTCCTGGTCCCTGTTGAGCCAGGAGAGTGGCTGGAGGGAGGCCATGAGGCTGGAGCTGATGTGGCTATTGGCCCCTCCCCACTGACCTCAATCTCTTTCTGTTCTTAAAATATCCGAGCAGGGTCAGGATTAAAATACAGGGACTAGGATTATTGTTAGGATTGGGGTCAGGGCTTCTACACCTGCTGGCTGGGGTCTCTCACATGACAGTTTTCACACCTGGTCTGTTACAGAGAAACTGAACCAGCGAGGCCAGCTCAGGGGACAGAGCCTGGGCTGGGAGCCAGGACTGGATGGCTTCTCCCTCACCTGCAGATGACAAAGCTGGAAGGAGAGTGAAGGTACTGGGGCCTTACCCATTTACCCTAGAGATCCCACCAACTTTGTGGTGCCTGGCCCCTCCCAAGCAGTGACATTCAAGGCTCAGATAGTTACCAATTCACATCACCCTGTTGCCTTGGCAGAACCTGAGGACTCCAGGTTTGTTATCCAAGAGGAATATAGCAAAGAAAAAAAAAGCCTGGCACGTTGGCAGGAAGGTACCTGGCACACAGTAGGTGCCACCTGAGTGCAGCCAGCACTCCCACTTCTTTCTATACTCTTGGGGCTCAGACCACACTGGGAGCTGTCTCCCGGACTGGGCGCTTTGCCCGCTGCTGAGGGTCCTGCAGTCAAGACTGCACCACTGGGTGGCTGGGATGGGTGCATTTGGGCAGGTAAGGAAAGTGGGTAGCACTACTGGGAGGTTAATTGAGAACACAGTGGGTGGGGGGCTGGGTGCCCAGAGCCACCTGCGAGTCAGAATCCCAGACCAGCATTCAGCTACAGGCTCCGCTGTCCGAGTGCTGTGCCACCTGAACCAGGGGCAGGGCAATCTTCCCAGTTTGAGCATGGACCAAGTCGGCATCCTGGGAACCTTCGGTCTTGGATGGAGTCACCAGCTCACACGGATGACCCCAACTGCAGTGCCCTCCCTGCCCTACACCCACCCAAGCCTGCCACCTCCCCTAAGCTCTGGCGCCACCTTGGCCTGTGTGTCAGCTTACTGTCGTCTTCTCCCCAGAGTCAGCTCCAGGAGGGCTGGGACCCCACATATTAGGTGCTCGATCAATGGTTGCTGAATGAAGAGTGACGTAGTGAATACGTACAGTGCTGGGCCCTGCGGTCACTAGAGTGACTGCGGCTCCAGGGGCTCAGTTTGGGCTGGAGCTTCACGGGACGAGGCCACAAGCGGCTCATTTCTTTTACCAGAGCGATCTTCAAGGACAGCCCAGCCCTGAGCCACACTCCCACCTTGCCTGACTACTGCTTGGGGTGGAGTGGTGCTTTGAAGTATTTTCTTCCAAGCCTCCATCGCCGAGCCCCAGGATCAGGCAGAATCCAGCCTGCTCCAGGGTGGTGAAAGCCACAGCACGGCCCTGGCCTCCAGGCACTCACGGGGCGCTACTGCGCCCGGCACCCCCCACCTCAGTGTGCTCCTCACAGCAGCCCAGGAACAGTGCTGCCACAGGGCGCTACGGAGGTCAAAGACAGCAGAGGACAAGGTGAAAACCATGGAGAATCTCTGCAGAGAAATGGGGGGCAGGGGCGACAGAAAACAGTGGAGATATGGGATGGGCTGAATGGCAGTCTGGAGCTAGGAAAAGACCAGGGACCGCAAAGACTGGTTGGTTGGTCAATAGCAACTATCCAAATAGAAATAGAATAAAACAAGGAAATCTGTAGAACAATGCCCAATGCCCTCCTGTGTAACTGGAGGCCCAGAAGGAGAGAGAAGGGGGTAGCAGTCGACACACCTGAAGAACAGCCAAGAATCCCCACACTAATACAAGGCAGCCCTAAGGCCCAAGAAGCTCCATGTGGAAACCTACACCTCGCACATCACACTCAAAAGCTGGTGTACAGGTGAAAAGGAAATCACAGAGAAAGAGATGTTTCCTCATTTAGGAAAGCACAAGAATGACCGATTTCTCATTAGATACCAGGAGTCAAAGGGACATCTTTAAAATGCTGATCCTGCCCTGACCGGTGTGGCTCGGTTAAGCTGGGTGTTGTTCCACACGGCAAAAGGCTGCCAGTTCGATCCAGTCCGGGCACATGTCCAGGCTGCAGGCCAGGTCCCCGATTGGAGTGCATGAGAGGGGCAACTGATCAGTTTCTCACACCCGTGTTTCTCTCCCTTTCTCCCTCCCTTCCCCCCTCTCTAAAAATAAATAAAATCTTAAAATACTGATCCTACCAAAAAAAGGAAAAAATGTTTCAAAAACAGAGGAATCCTTGAGGATCTTCTTGGCCTGTGTGAAGAAACGAGGGCTCATCTCTAAAGGCTACAGAAGATGACGAGATGCCCCCGCGAGCTTGTGAGAACAGGCGGCAGCCACGCCGAGGGCAGCACCCAGGGCTGGCGAGGCCCAGGAGCCGCAGGGGCTCTCCTTTCCCGCGGGGGCGTCGGGCTGGTGCAGCCTTTTGGAGGACCGTTTGGTGGTTTCTGACAAAACTAAACACACTCTAAGTTGCAGCTCCTGGGTATTTACCCAAGAGTTGAAAACTTGTGTCCATTGCATCCAAACAAAAACCTGCTTAGGTGTTCACAGCAGCTTCATCTGTAAGTGCCCAAACCTGAAAGCAACTGAGAATTCCTTCAGCAGGTGAGGGGACGATAAACCATCGTCCATCTGATGGTACATTGCTCAGCAATAAAAAGAACGAGCTATGGAGCCATGAGATGTGGAGGGACCTTAGGCACACATCACCAAGTGAAAGAAGCCAGTCTGAAAAAGCTACACATCAAACTGTTCAAAACCAGGG